GGTAGCTCCCGGGCGCGGGGCGCAGAGACCCCCGGGCCCTCAGCGCCTCTTAAGGCGCCCCGGACTAGCAGCTCCTGGCGCTGGCGCAGGTACTCCAGCTCCGCCAGTCCGGCCAGCGTAGCCTCCTGCCGCTCGCGGGTGCGCTGCCGCTCCGTGTCTGCCTCGCCCTTCTCCCGCCAGCGCCCCTCGAGCTCTCCCGCGCGCTGCTCGCCCCGGGCCAGCGCCTGCGGCTCCAGTTCCCTCGCCGTCCCGGCCGGATACGGTTTCATGGTCCCCAACCCGTAGGCGAGCCCCCGTCACCGCAGCCCCGCCGCTCGAGTAGAGGCTCTGGGACACTAAGGCTGCGGCCGCGGGCTCATACCGCCCTGCGGCGAGAGTGGCGGCGAGAAGCGCTCGGGACTCAGGAGCGCCAGCCGCCTGCAGCCGTCTCGTCCCGGGCGGCGCCGTCCACTGTCGCCGCTCGCACCTTGCCAGCGGCCCCGCGACTGATAACGCCCCGCTCGGCGTACGTCACGCGCGGCAGTCGGCAAACCCCCGCCCCGCGCCCGCCCGCGCCGCCTCCCCTCCTGGCCAGAGGCTGCAGCCTCGCGCTCCTCTCCGCTTCTGCCAGGCGCACCCGCAGCTCTGAGCTCTACCGGGCCCTCCTCCTCGCTAGGCCCTCCCCACCCCTCCCTCTCTCCTCCCCACCCCTCCCTCTCTCCTCCCCCTTTCTTCCCCGGGGCCTCCTCGCCCCTTTTCGGGTTTACTGCACCCGGTTTTTTCGTGGTTCCTTATTGGTTCCTCTCCATCGCACTATGCAAGGAGCGAGCGCCGTCGGACTCGCAGGGAGGATCCGAGAAGGGACGCAGCACTTGGGCTCCCTAGAGAACTTTCTGAAACTCGACCAAGTTTCAGCACAAAATCTTAACCCTCCCCCTCCCCCCCCCACCCCGACGTCCACTGTTCATATCCGCTCAGACTGATTTAGGTTTCTTTGCCTTTTCCAAGAAGGTACTGAGAGTGTTTTCAAAGACAAGTCTGTAGCGTTTTCTTACTCCCCAGTGTAAAAGCAACCAATACAAAGCACAATGCAATGTTCTGGAACTGTATCGCTCATAGTTTTGTGGGTAGTGGTGGTTTGTTTTAATTTTTTTTAACTGCATGAGCCAGAAATCTTACTATAGAAAGCATTTAAAATTAGACAAGATGATGTCGCTATAGAGCAAGTGATTGTATTATTTTAGATGCCCAGGGTTTGTGCGTGCATGGTTTTGTGCTCTGGGTTTTTTGTTTTAGTTGGGTTTTTTTATTGTTTAGTCTGCATTCACATTCAGAGAACAGGTTCTGAAACCAGACTGCCTGAATTTAAATCCAAGGCATGGTACTTCACATCTCAATGCCTGTTTCCCCATCAGTAAAATGGAGCTGACCCACTAACAGAGCCTACCTATTGTAAGAATGAGATACGGTACATAATATATATTTGAGGAGCAGATGTGTTATTTTTAGCTTTTTTCTTCTCCAAAAACACAATAAAAAATTTCCCCTGAGGTGTCATTTGTGGAGTCCTGGTGTGGCGCTGTGGGTTAATGCGCCAGACTGCAAAGCCGTTTGAACTGCAAAGTCAGTGGTTCAAGCTCACCAGCTGCTCGTCGGAAACACTCTACAGGGTCGCTATACAGGGTCGCTATGGGTCAGAACCGACTCGACAGGACTTAACAACAAGTGTGGCGCTGTGAGTTAATGCGCCAGACTACACAGCCTTTGAACTACAAGGTCGGTGGTTCAAGCTCACCAGTTGCTCATTGGAAACCCTACAAAGGATCGCTAAGGGTCAGAACCAACTCGACGGCACTTAACAACAACAACAATCTCTGCTTGGGACCCTGATCACAGGAAATTTCAGTGGGATTGAATTCTGGAAATGCCGCTGTCTTGCTTCTCCATAGGACCAAAACCAAAACGAAACCCATTGCCATAGAGTATACTCCGACTCATAGAAACCCTACCAGACTCACAGAAACTGCCCCATAAGGTTTATTAAGACTATAATCTTTATGAAAGCAGACTATTACATCTTTCTCCTCCAAAGCAGCAAGTGGCTTCAAACCACTGGCCTATCAAACACTTAGAAGCAGAGCACTTTAATCACTGCAACACCAGGGCTCCTTTGTCTATAGGAAAGAAAAAGAAAAAAACCTCAGCTACCACTGAGTCAATTCCAACTCATCTCCACCCTGTATGGGGTTTCGGAGGCTGTAAATCTTTCTCCTTCCGAGTGGCTGGTAGGATTCAACTGCCAACTTTGTGGGTAGCAGTTCAGTGCTTATCCTACAGTGCCACCAGGGCTATGGAAAAGAATCATATAAATTTTAGAAAGTAGTGCATACAAAAGCCTCAAATTTCGCATTTGCCAAGTCACAATTTGCTGAAGTTTGGGCCAAGTGTTGTGTTAAGGTGTACATCTCATTGTTTTGATTCTTACACCTTTCCCAAACTGCTAACCCTGCTAGGAATTCTTCCTATATTCTTCCGTTATCTGGTGGTCCTGGGATAGTGTACACCATTAATGTGCTGGGCTTCCAACCAAAAGGTTGGAGGTTCAAGTCCACCCAGAGGTGTCTTAGAATAAAGGTTTGCTTCCAAAAAATCAGCCATTGAAAACCGTGTGGAGCACAGTTCTACTCTGACACACATGGGGTCACTATGAGTGGTAGTTCACTGGAAGGTTTACTGATATGTTTCTCCCCTCTTTGTGTGATCTCTTTTCTTCCAAGCTAAATTCACTAGCTGTCATCCTCTGAGCTCCTTACTTCATGAACACATAATCCTGCATTTACCACATGCTACATGCATGGTTTATTATCTGGATATGTGTATCTCCTCTCAAACTACATTATAAATTGTTCCTCCCAATAGCAGTTACTGGTTTACTACCCTCTTTGTATCCCAGTACTCAGCAAAGTTCCTTGCCAGCATTCAACTGATGATTGATAGAAAATGACTGAAAAGACTCTAAAATGTAGGTTGGTTGTACTTGTTTTTTTTATTAGCATACTTCTTAAAGTGAATTTAAGAGTGTCCAATTGATCTCTATTACAAATAGAATTAAGCCAACATTTAAAAGTGAAGCCCATTACCATCAAGTTTATGTAGATGCCATGTTGTAGAGTAGAACGACTTCATGGGGTTTTCTTGGTTTTAATCTTCATGGAAGTAGATTGCCAGGTCTTTGTTCAACGGCACCAGCATAAATCCACCCCCTCAAAACAACAAAAGTTGCCTTGCCACCTTCCATTGTCTCCAATGTTGTCCCTCATAGACATAAAAAGAACTCAGAGGCATAGTGAGGGAAACAAAGAAGGGGATATTGGCCCTGGATACAAGTCCAAGAGCTCCAGAGGCGGCCTGTTGGTGAATCACCCCCAACAGGATGCTGGAGTGAGTGGGGTTATTGTTAAATGCTGTCAAGTATATTCCCACTCATAGAGATCCTGTATAGGGTTTCTAAGGAGTAGCTGGTGGGTTTGAACTGCTGGCATTTGGGTTAGCATTCCAGTGATAGCGTCACACCAGGACCTGGAGGGAGTGGGGAAGGAGTGCAAACTGAGAGGTTACTCCTGGGTACTCCTTACTGCCGCTATGCCTCTGAAGGAACTATCATTTGCAAGATCATATATTAGATCTGAAAATGAAATTATATCCTGATGTTCATCAAACACACAGAATCAATTCTATTTAGATCTATTCTTTATGTCTGGATGGTGGTTCAAGCTCACCAGCCGCTCCTTGGAAACCCTATACAGGATCACTAAGGGTCGAAACCAACTCAATGGCACTTAACAACAACATTCTTTATGTCTACTATGCACCAAGCACTGTAGTAGATAATACAGGAACAATTTTCCTTCCGAATTAATTAACAAGATTTTTTTACCAGTAATGATTTCTCTTTACTGCTAAATGTCAATCAGCCAAGCCATTGTTTCACTCTATTCATCCCTAAGTAAACTGTTTCCTACTTCTGAATTAGATTCCCTCTGAGTAGGTGGATTAAGGCTGTGCTATTTCACATATTGACAACTACATTTAGGAGGCAATAAGACCCAAAACATGTTTTTACATGTTAATTCTTGTTAAAGCAGACAGATATGTCATTATGTCTCCAAACCTCCCCACCTTCCCACCTCCCTCTCAACCAAGTGCCACTTGAGATCAGGTTCATGAGTCCAAAACAAACCATTTGCCACAATAGCTTGTACTTCTCCAGAAAAAAAAAGTGTTCCCAGCAAGTTTATATATTAAAATGAATGTATTCAGATGGTTCCGCCAATAAAACGGTTCACCAAAAAGAAAAAGGTTATGCCATCCAAAGTATCCATTACATGTTAATAAATAATGCTGTTCATTCACGTGCCAATTAAAACAAACTTGGGCTGTCAAATGAAGTTAGGAACATGGAGCTCAATGCTGTCATTGTTTTTCCAGGAAAACTCTCCATGTTGTCAGATTAAGTGTGACTGCTTAGGTTGCCCCTATTCACTTCTTAATCCAACATTCACATTTTCTCCACTCTGCTCTAGTCGCCCGGCTTTGTTTTCCTCTTTGCTTCTTTGTTTGGGTTGCAGGTATTCTGGGGGCAGTTGAAAGTAATCACCCACTGTTCCCTTCTATTGTTACCAACAGGCTCTCACTTGCCCCTACTGGTTCAGATGTTCTCTTGCTCTCTTTTTGAAGCAGATGTTGGTGTTCTTCTTCCTCTAGTTTTACTTCATTATCTCCTTTCTAGTATTGTTCAGCCCTGCTTAGTTCTCCTGCTTCCCCTGCAGGCCTCCAGTCTTCTTAGAAAAGCTGCGAATCGCCACTCAGAAAGTGTGGCACTAAAGCTGGGGTGGGTCTGCTGCCTGAAGGGTCAGGAAATGAAGATAAAGTTGTCGGCATGGAAGTCTTGACTGGATATATTAAAAGTACGTAGTTTAGGCTTAATAACATTTCCTGAGCAGAGGCCCAGGTTTGATGCTTTGCCCTTAGACCAAACAGCTCCCAATGGCATCCACACCAAAGTCTGAGCATCATTCTACAAATGACTTATCTAGCAGTGCACATTTTGCTATGGAGCAAGGCAACAAAATGATGCCTTGCAGCTTTTATGGCCAAACAAACACAAATGATGTAATTGGGGAGAAAGCTGTCTCCGAGTAGGAGGGGGGAAAAAAAGTAAAGGGCAATCCTTTGAGTTGGGGTGATGACCACCATTCCAGGGTCTGGGATCAAAGCTCTAGCCAGACAT